GTACTAAACTGTGTTCGTTTTTATGACAGGTTTTGATAATGCCAAACCGCCGCGACATATCGAAGCTAAAGTGAGCAAAACTAAGGCGAAGGAACATGGCATGATGACTTGAGAACCAAGAACCCAGAATCAAGAACGAAGAACTAGAATTGTATTGAGTCGGTCTTAATGTGATCAAGACCGGCACAAAATTCCAAATCTTGGCTCTCTAGGCTCAATTCATAAAAATCTCTTTTACATATTCAAAAATATTTTTCTTAAGTTTTAAACTTGGCTCAAAACACTTGGAGTTCGCCCAAGCCAAAAACCAAGCCATCCGGCGTTCGGCTTTCAGAAACCGGCGTTCGGCTTTCGGTTTTCGGCATTGGTTTTTGGCGTACGAACCAACCAAGTGGTTTTCAACTTTTTATGACTGGTTTTTACTTCTGGGCATATTTAAATAGTTCTCCAACAAAAACGCCTCAAAAACCACTCTCCGCTTTTGATAGTTGAGTGAAAACCATGCGAAACGGCACAAACTTGGTTAGCCGTGGTTTTCAACTAAATGACGTGGTTTTCAGGATGGTTTACTTGAATTCTTAGCAAAATGCAATAAAAAAATGTTTTCTAAACTTGGTTTTTATTTTGGAGAACTTGCATTTTTGACATCGGCTAACGGCATGACTAAACCAACCATGGGTCTGGCTAAACCAGCCCAACAGCGATGTTGAGGTAATCAACAGCGCTGTCTGGCCTGGGTAGCTAAAAACATGGTTTGGCGTTAAGTCTTCCAACAGCGATGTTGGACACTAGACATCGCTGTTGAGCTAAGGTTGGATTTCCAGAAACTTCTAGAACAGCGATGTAGGCTTCCCTACAGCGCTGTCCAACCTAAGCCAAAAATATAGTGCATTGGCAGAAAGTTTTTGGACAGCGATGTTGACCCAGCAACAGCGCTGTCAGGCCAAACTTCCATCTCCAAAGGCAGACCTAAACAGCGATGTTCTAGTATAGAACATTGATGTAGAGACCTGACCGTTGGAAGGAATTTAAGGCTAATACTTTCCTTGTTTGGAAGTCAACAGCCAAAACAGCGATGTAGGGATTTTAGACATCGCTGTTGGCATGACCGTTGCTTCCCATTTTTTCAAACCGCAAGCCTAGAACAGCGATGCCCAGGCCTAGGACAGCGCTGTCTGGGTGATTTTCAACAGATCCAAATTTCATCAAATCCCACAAATTATGCCAATCACCTCTTAAATACTTTGGTCCGTTGGAGCCTATTTTTCTACTATAAAATGGGGTGTTTGGGTCTGTTTTAAACATAACATTTACTTCACAACTCCTACTCTTCCATTGCAAATCATTCTTCAATTTTTCATAGCTTTTGAGAGCCATTTTTTTGAAGCTTGTGTTGTGTTCTTAAGCGTTCTTAGTTTACTCATTATCCACTCTAAAAGAGAGTATTGTTCTTGAGTGTTTTTAGTGTTCTTAGACACTTGACAAGAGAAGGTATTTCTCTTGTTGTTCGAAGGAAGGGTTGTTTCCTTCGAAGGTTCGTTGAGGTTCGTGTGACTCGAATTCTCAAGTTGTACGGGTTTGTAAAGCACCGTTAAGCTTAACAAGATAGTAGTGTAGCTCGAGAGAGTCTCTCGAGAGGCTGGACTAGCCACAAGTTGTGGTGAACCAGGGTAAAATCGGTGTGCCTCGTTCTTTTCTCTTTACTTCTCGCTTATTCATTTTTATTCCTGCGATTTCTTGATCAAACGCTATTCACCCCCCCTCTAGCGTTGGTCTATTATTCTAACAGAGTAGGGAGTTCCCGAACCAGTATAAAATCGGTGTGCATTTTATTTACGCTTTTATTTCTGCGTTTTATATATTGCTTCCGTATTTGCCAACACCGTTTTTATTAAACTCCGAAAAGATTTTCAACGCCTTATTCACCCCTCCTCTAAGGCGTGGGTACAACGATTAAACCGACTAACAATTGGTATCAGAGCGGTTTCGTAGTTAAAAGTGCTTAACCGCACCTACGACAAAGATCCACTTGTTGTGTCCCTTTTTAATTTGAATTTTTAAAATCTCAAATTTTTTTCTTCAAATTTTTAAAAATTCAAATTTATTGAAATATGGCCCAAATGGATTCCCAAAGCATCCACCGCCCTCCGTTTTTCAATGGCCAAAATTATTCTTATTGGAAAATGCGGATGGAAAGTTTTATACAACCCATTGATTTTGATTTATGGATAAATGTACTTCACGGGCCATTTGTGCCGAGTAATGGTAGCCTTGCAGGTCTATCATCGGAGGACAAGAGAAAATTGTCCATGAACGCTAAGGCGATGAATATCCTTCATTGCTCCCTTGGACCCGATGAGTTTGCACGTGTGTGCTCGTGCAAAACGGCCAAGGAGGTATGGGATTTGCTTCAAGCCACACATGAAGGCGACACCTCCACGAAGCAAACCATGATTGCCCTAGGAAACTCGGAGTACGAATCCTTCAAGAAAGGGCCATGTGAGACAATCCAAGATATGAACAAAAGATTCAACGAGATTGTCAACAAATTGAGTAAGTTGGGTAAGACGTATACTACTTCCGAGCTTAATACGAAAATTCTATTTTCTTTACCAAAAGAATGGCATAGTAGTATAGTAGATTTATTACCCAAATGTGATAAGGTCGAAACCGCCCACATTTGGTCTTCCTTATATTCTCACAAGCTTTTGTTGAGAAAGATCAAAGAGGAAGAAATGCGTGAAAATCCCAAGCTTACCAACGCCTTCAAAGCTTCAAAATATTCATCTAGTGAAGAGTCAAGTGAATCAAGTGATGATTCAAGCGAGTCAAGCTCTACGGAAGAGTCGAATGATGAAGAAGACGAAGAGAAGGAAATGAGAAAGAAGTATACGGATTTCCTCAAATGGAAGAAGTATGTGAAGAGGAAAGAAACGTATAAAAAGCCGAAGAAAGAGCGGCATAAGCCAAGGTAAGTTCTTCTCACTTATTGGGATAAGATATTTTGTTTGGTTTTAAGTATTTTCAAAAATGAAACCTTATCCCATACATGTTTTTATTTGCTTTAGCCTTGGTTTGCATGATTAAATTTTTTTCATCTTTAAATCATGCATTTTTAGAAAATAATCCCCAAAAATCCCTGAAAAATAAAGTTTTTAAACTTGCATCATTTTAGGGGGAGTTTTCATTTTTAGGGGGAGTTTCGTTGTAACATATGACCATTTTGAAAATTTTTTTTCATGTCGCGCTTTAACTTTGCCAAATGTCGCCACATCAGCTCGCCACATGTCGCGCTTTAGCTCTGCCAAATGTCACGTTCTTATAGCTCCGACTCTGCTTTATATATATAAAGGATTACGGAGTATACGATTTACTCCTGAACATTAAATGGTGCACCAAATACCCTAAAATAATTAAATGCTAGTGTTAATTCCATGCTTCGCACGGGCTCGTATATATTCTAAACTTTTGACATTCTATTAATATAATTTTATTTATTTTAGTTTTCTAATAGTGAAATAATGTGTTAGATGAATATTTTTTTAACTCTAAGATATACTCTGTATCTTTTTTCAAATAAAATAATCTAAATATAGATATACATGCACTAAAGATTCTTTAAGTATTTTCTTTAAAAGTAGTAAAAGAGAAATGATTTATTGTTTTTAAAAATCATATAAATTAAAACTTTATTTTTTAAAACATTGATAATGTTAAAAAATATTTTATAGATATAATTTAATTATGTAACAAAATATGTTTTAAACCGGTGAAATATATATTGGTATGTTTATTTAAAAACAAAAATTTTATACAAAACTAATGGCCATTATTGAATGTACATGTGGCAATATGTATGTATGTATATGTGTGTGTGTGTGTTTATATATATATATATATATATATAAGGGGGGTTGGTTCCGGTAAGAATGACTCACAGTGAAAGAAATAAAAGTAGATCATAGGCGTTAGATCAAATGCGTCCAGCGGCACTGGTTTATTTACTAAATGGGATTCTCTCTTCAAGTAATTATGGTATGCATTAATTAGACTTAGGGGCTGTTTGGCAACTTCTGAATGGGTAAGTGCTGAACCAGTAAGAGGTCTGAACCATTAAGTGCTGAACCAGTAAGAGGTCTGAACCATTAAGAGCTAGTATATTGCTTAACTATTCAGAGGCAAATGTCTGATCAATTCAGATAAGAGGTCTTAACCATTCAGACTCTGTATAATACTTAACCATTCAGAGGCAAATCTCTTAACCATTCAGACATCTGAACCATTAAGAGGCTGAAACAAACAGTCTGAACCATTAAGTGCTGAACCATTCAGACATCTGAACTATTAAGAGGCTGAAACAAACAGCCCCTTAATGGGAATAGCCACTGATTCGTCTATAAGGGCAATATTGTAAACAACCAGTGCATTTAAAAAAATATTTAATACAGAGTATAACAGATTAGTTCTGCTTGGCGACTTCTTCTCACCTTCCAAATTTTATACGGCATACAAAGATTTTTTGCTTTTGAGATTGGATTCTCAACAAAACAACACCCAAGAGAATAAAAGTGCTATTAACAACAGAACTCCTCTATTACACCTTCCATCAAAATTCTTAAACTTTTCATGGAGAAGAGAAGTGCCATAAACAAGCAGAATAGGGTTGGTTGTTTTTAGGATTGTGATTTTTAAGGATGCACATAAAAATCAAGGAGATGCAAGATACACAGGTATTTATACTTCCTAAATTTCTCGGGGTGCTGAACATCGGCTTAACGGAAGTAATGAACTAGGGTTGTGGGCAACATGTTTGATTTTCTTAATTGTTGGGAAGACATTTTTATTTGGGTGATCTCCTTCATTGTACTTCAGAATTTAGGTTTGTTTGAATTATAATTAGGGTTATTTTGGTGCTTGATTTTTTTTTATTTTCACGTAAAAATGTGTGATTTTTCCAAGACTTATTTTGATTAATCAATATATGCTATGTGGATACGCATATATGCATCGTGCTAGGTATTTATAATGAAAACGATATTTTGTGTGCTAGGTTTATTAACAGTATTTTGATAACCCATTTTGTTGTGGTAATTACTATGATATAAACATATGGTGCATTGCACAAGATAATACTTCGTATTTTACAATTGTATTAAAAGTAAATTGTATATGGATAGTGCATTCAAACTATTTTATGATGCACTTGAGAATGGTGCATTCCAAAGGTCATGTGTTGCATA